CTCAATTACCGAAAGGTAAAAGAGCAATTGGATGCAAGTGGGTATTTGCAAAGAAAGATGGATCTCATAGCAAGAAAGATGTTCGTTACAAGGCACGGTTGGTAGCTAAAGGCTACGCTCAAAAGGAGGGAATCGACTACAATGAAGTATTTTCCCCTGTTGTGAAGCATTCCTCCATTAGAATATTGTTGGCCTTGGTAGCACAGTTGAATTTGGAGCTAGCTCACCTTGATGTAAAGACGGCTTTCTTGCACGGTGATTTAGAAGAAGAGATCTATATGACTGAGCCAGAAGGATACAAAGATGGTGGTTATGAGAAATGAGTTTGTAAGCTGAACAAATTGCTATATGGATTGAAACAATCTCTGAGACAGTGGTACAAGTGATTTGATAGCTTTATGAGGAGGAAAAAGTACACTAGAAGCAAATATGATCAGTGTGTGTATTTGTAAAAGCTCAAAGATGGATCTTTCATTTATCTTCTCTTGTACATTGACGATATGTTGATTGCTTCGAAGAGTCAAAAGGAGATAGACAAATTAAAGGCTCAGTTGAATCAAGAGTTTGAGAAGAAAGATCTAGGTGAGGCCAAGAAGACTCTTGGTATGGAGATAAACAGAGATAGACAGAGAGAGAAGCTTTGTTTAACACAGAAGCAGTATCTGAGAAAGGTATTACAATGTTTTGGCATGAATGAAAATACCAAACATGTAAGTATCCCACTAGCTTCTCATTCGAAACTTAGTTCTCAGTTATCTCCTAAAACTAACGAAGAACTAGAGTATATGGAAAAAGTTCCATATGCTAATGCAGTTGGAAGCTTGATGTATGCAATGGTGTGTATGCGTCCTGACATTTCACAAGCTGTTGGAGTTGTGAGCAGGTACATGCATGATCCTAGAGAAGGACATTGGTAAGTTGTGAAATGGATTCTACAGTATCTCCAACAAACTGTGGATGTTGGTTTAGTTTTTGAACAGGATGAAATACTTGGTCAGTGTGTGGTTGGATATGTTGATTCCGATTATGCTGGTGATTTGGATAAGCGTCGATCAACTACTGGGTATTTGTTTACTCTTGGTAAAGCTCCAGTAAGTTGGAAGTCTACATTGCAATCTAAGGTGGCATTGTCTACTACAGAGGCAGAATACATGGCAGTTTCAGAGGCTGTAAAGGAAGCAATTTGGCTTAACGGATTGATGGAAGACTTAGGAGTTGTTCAAAGTCACATTAGTCTCTATTGTGACAGTCAGAGCACTATTCACTTAGCGAAAAATCAAGTCTACCATTCAAGGACTAAGCATATCGACGTGAGGTATCACTTTGTGCGGGAGATCTTTGAAGAAGGAAAGATTCTACTTCAGAAAATTGCTTGAACATGATTAACATCCTGAAAGTATGAACACCTTCGGGTGTGTGGCGCTTGTGAGCGCAATTAGAGGCACTACAAATTTGGAGAGTTGAAGAAGTTGAGTAGGCTTGGTAATTTCAAGCCAAGGTGGAGATTTGTTAGATTTGGCTTGAAATTAAGTTGGCAAGTTGGAAATTTCATCTTGGTTGGTGGCCAACTTATTGGAAATTTCATCTTGGTTGGTGGCCAAACTTTGAATATGGGAATTTCATATTTGGTGGCTAACTTGTACACATTGGAAAATTCTTTGGTAGGTGGCTAACTTATTTTTCATGTTTGATCCCTAAAATATTAGGTTATTTATAAGTTTAGTCCTTAAAACTCAACTATAAATAGGCCTAAGTATTTCATTAGAAATCATCCCAAAAACAAGTTCTCTCTTCCTCTTGTATTCTTCATTCTCCCACTTTGGGAATTCTTTAATTCTTCTAAAGAATTCCATTTGTTGTAATATTGGCGATATGGTGAAGTTATCATCCGGTGTGATGCCCGAGGAGTAAACGATATTCTCGTCGAACCTCGTAAATTTGGTGTGTTCTCTCCTTTATTGTTTTTATTTGGTTTTTTCCATTATGTTTCAATATTCAATAGTTTGATAGGTTTATCCGTTGTGCAACCTTTGGTGGTTTTGATCTTGACATTTTAGGTCAATTTTGAAACTATGTTCGTGTGGGAAATAACACGATTTCCCCAACAAGATTCATTCAATACTTCATTCTTAATCTCCTCCGGTAATGGAGCAGAGGGACCTGCCATCGAGTAGAAACCGACCAAAGACCTGACCGGCTTTTCGAGCTCGATATACCGTTGCTTGTGAACCACCTTCTCTTGTCCCTTCCAATTACTCAAATACTCTCGGATCGACTCTCTTGCAGAATCTATCGTTTGTCTGAATTTAGCGGCATCCTTGGGATCCTTAAGGGACATCAAGTGCCTTCCACTTTAACACCAACAAACATTGGTGCAAACAAAGCTTAATAAAGGCAAATCAGAAACATAAACAATCAATTGTTTAAATATATACCAGCACTGCACATTGCACTCCCAAAGAGAACCTACATTCAAACCATGGAGACGGCATCGTCGGGTAGGGTAATCACAAACTCCGAATACGGACTGTAAAAGATACAAAAAGAAAAACGAATACCAGCACTGCAGGTAAAAGTGTTGTTGGAAATTGTTGCTTAAATTTATTTTCAGTTCTCTTCTTTGAGTTGATATTAGGGACACAAATCTTTGCTGTAAGATTAAGATTCATTCTGTGCTTTATCTCAGAACAATTTGGGTACCTTACATGAGTGCAGTGGCGGATCTAGAAATTAAAAAAATGGGGTCCAAAATTTTAATACCCTATTCTAAAAAATTTTGGGTATGCAAATTTTCTTTTTTTTTCTATTCCTATTAACAAATTAAACTAAATTTAACACTTTTCTAAAAATAATGGGTGTGCAATGGAGTCATGTACATCCGCCCCGGCATGAGTGTGTTAAAAAATTTATATGATTAGAATTCACTTATATAATAAAAACTTTATATGTTTTTTAAAGGGTTATATTAGGTGGGTTTAATAATTGAGATCAAATTTTTTAAATTAAAAATAATTCATTTAATTTCCCTGTAAAAAATCTCCTTGTTTCCTCCTAGATATTAAAAAAAACCCTTTTTAATTTTGATGAATAATGCTACCTTTCACAAGTGTAATTGTTTGGCACTTTGGTCTTCTAAAATATTAATAATAAAAATATATTTTAATACTTTAAAATTTTGTAATTTACTCCTCACTATCAGTTGGGCAAGGTTTATTACAAAAACGATTTGCAGTAATGAAATGTTGGGTCATAGTAATTTATTCCCAACTTTTATATTTGATTCTCTTACTCAAATATCACCTAATAAAAATTATTTTTCATTTTAACAACCATAGACGATTAATTTTCAAATTGGTATTTTTTTTCATGCTACATAGGTAAAGGTGTGTTCTGTAGAAATCATCTTATACCATGCAAGTAAAGGTGCGTTCTGCTAATGTGACAGAAGACGCGATTTGCAAGAAGTGGCTTCCGTTGATCTCGATTAGGTTGAATTGAAATGAAAGAAAAGAAAAAGAGGGACCAAAAATATGAAAAAAGTTTATGAATTTTGTCAAAAAAACAAATGTTTATGGTGTGTATATTAATCTTATGTTCATTCACTCAATAAATATATATTTAAAAATTTATATTTAAACAATTGAAAACATACATATCTAGGGTTTGAAAATCCCATGAACTTCTCAAATCTCACATTGCTTATACACGTGCTCGTGCAATTATGTGTCTTTGACACACACTACGGATATTTATTTTTTAAGGATAAAATTCGTACAGATTTTTCATATTTTTTGCCCCCGGTTTATTTTTCTTTCATTTCAGTTCAACATGTGTCTGGTGGCCAAAAAAATTGCTAAATTGAGAAATAATGTTCCATAAATGTTAAAATGAAAAATTATTTTTAAATGAGATATATTTGGGTAAAAACGTCTTTATATCTCTTTAACATTGGTTGAGCTCAACTGTTTCTGCATTCTTCTCTCCTTTCTATATTTGATCAAACTCTTCCATCCAACTTTTGTGTCTCAGAGAAGATGTTGACTAAAGCGAGTCAGAAAAAGAGAGAAGCCCATGGAGAAAGCCTTGCGTGTTCTTGAGATGCACAACATCTGAATTCTCGCCGGTAAGGCTTCTCAGGCATTTTGGCCGTAAAGTAGCAAAGGGTTTAATCAGAATTTTCAGGCCTCCTCCTCCTAAGGTTACCTCTTCTTCTTCTTCAACAAGACCTAAGCCATTTGAGGCTCCGGTTGTTGATTGTCATAGAACCGCTGCTATTGAAGACTGCATACAATTTATCAACTCTTCTGCTTCTTTGACGGGATCCATTTCTGTTTCTGCTACTTCTCATTGAAAACTGAGTATATATATATGTACCCGTAGCTATGTTCAAATATGTCACTACAACAAAACTGGCTTTTTGCGGCGTTTTTCTTTACCTATAGCGGCGTTTTTAAACGCCGCAAAAAACACCTGCGGCGTTATATTGAAACATTTAGATGCATAAACTCATCTATATCAAACTCATCAAGAACTTCATCTTCTTCCATAAAAATTGAAAATTTTTCATTTTCAATATACGAATATTCTGTTTTACCTAAAAAAACAGAAATTGAATCGGTTACCTCTAAACAAACAAGCTGAGTTCTTCACAACAAATAGCAGTAGATTTATCAGTTTCGTATTTATGGAATATCCATTTCAAATGTTAATTCCTAATATTGTAGAGAAAGTGAAAAATTAAATATAATAATTACTATAATATATAAGAGATTTATCCATTTCGTATATAACTCAATATTGATGGTGAATCCCTAACTAATAAACTAATTAATCAATGCTCAGGAATCCTTTATTTCAATTGTTAAAACTTTAGTACTGCATTTATTAAATCTAAATGTGATGAATTCACCAAGACAATTCCAATAATCAACAACAAGGAATGAAATGTTATGAATGAATTCAATCAAATATGAATGAATTCAAGAGAAAATTACCAATGGGTTTCTGTCTTAATGTTGAAGTTGAAACAAAGCACAGAACACAATCAATGGTTCTATTCGACCTGAACACAATCAATGGTTCTATTCGACCTGCACACAAAGAATACATTCAGTTTCAATACTTTAATTTAGTTGGTAGTTTAACACAATAGATATACTATAAGATAAAAAAATGAAAAAAAAATACTAATGCTGTCATTTTCTATATCTGCCATCTAAATCTGCCCTCCCATTTTGATTTTTGTTCCATTTTGATTTTTGTTCCACTTCCCTCCCATCTTAATCTGCCATTTTCTATATCAAGAAAAGAAAACCCTCAAGTCCTAAGAAAACCTCAAGTCAATTCACTTCTATTAATTTAAAGGCAATTCACTTCTAAATAGCAAATTCATGTAATGAAAAATTAAAGAAACTGCAGAAGATCGTAGAGATATGAAAATTAGAGTAACTAATTGTAATTTAAAGGCAATTCACTTCTCAAGTCCTAAGAAACCTCAACATGACTATCAGAGACAAAAATGGGTAGGTTCTCAACAACTGCCAAATTCTAGACATGAATCGGCATTTTACTGAACACATATTTTCTCCTCTTCATAAAACTTTAATCTCAACAAATCAATGATCTCACAAGGACAAATATAAAACTTTAAAGGAGATGGTTTGATGCATATAATAAAAAATTGTGGCATCAATTATCGAATAAAAAATGGCATTCACCTTCGCCATTTAAGTGCAGTAGTCCAATGATCATCAAAACAAGATGGACGTGCAATAGGCAGACTAAAATGTTGACTTTACTGAAATGATGAAAAAAAATCACAATCATCTTCATACGTTGAACAGAGAAAGATGGTGTTTAAGGATCTTCTGCAGTATCTAACCGACTTGGTTTTTAAGATTGACAAAAAGACAGAGTGCGACTGCGAAGAGAGACATACCGGAAGCTGACAGAGACGCAGTGGTGCTAATGGTTTTGAAAATCTTCACTGTGATAGCTGTGCGTTGGGTAGGAAATTAGAAAAATAACAATGAGAAAATTAGGGATTTGGAACCGGGCTTGAGGGAAGAAGACGGAGGACCTTGCCCTTAACAACGAATGGTGACGGAGATGGGATGAATGGCCAGCGGCGGGGTTGAAAGAGAGAAAGCAGGAGGCTGGGGGCGCTACTCGTGAAAAAGGAAAAAGGGATCGATAGGTTTTGTGATATAAAAGAAAAAGGGTAAATAATTTATTTTGCGGCGTTTTCTAACAAAAACGCCATGGTTGATAACGCCTATTGTGGCGTTTGTTTACAAACGCCGCTAAAGTACATTATATAGTGGCATTTTTTAAAAAATTTCACTATGAATGAACCAATTGCGGCGTTTGTAGATAAAAACGCTAATAAAGTAGATCTTTTAGCGATGTTTTTACTAAAACGCCACGATCGAAAAGGTTTAGTGGCGTTTCTTAACAAACGGCACTATAAACTAACACTATTACGGCGGCGTTTTTTAAAGAAACGCCATAATTTCATAAACATTAAATGTATGGATGAACCTATTACGGCATTTTTTGTAAAATCACAATTATGGATGAACATATTGCGGCATTTTTGGATACAAACGTCGCTAAATACCTTTATTTATATAAGATTAACAAATTTTAAATATTTAATTTCTGTTGCACATAAACTAAATTTACTATCATGTAGTTTTATCTATTTAACAACAACCATACATTTTAATTAAGACATAAGTTATGCATAAAAATACTTAACAACAAAATACATTAAAATTTAGAAACATTCAACTTATGCATAAACAGTCTTCACCATATTGTTCACTACAATTTAGTTGTGCTCCTTCGTGGGGAAAGGACGTAGGAAATCTGTTTTCCTTGTTTGACGATGCATAGTTAAGTTTTTCCTCCATGTAAACTCTATATGGAGAAACTTTTCATCCATTTCACCAAATAAATCCCCTACCTCCGGGTCACCAAGAAGACTCCTTGCGCGCTTAAGTGCTTCACTTGAAACAAATAACGAACTTCCACCTACATTATGAAACTTGATTGGAGGTGGCTTGGGAAGTGAATCACTTGTTGGAAAAAATTAAATAGATGATAGAAATGTTTACTTGGAGTAACAGTAGAGGCAACGTCGTATTGAGGATAGCTCTTGCTTTTGTAATTGAAGATTCTTTCAATGCCACAGAGTTACCAAATTCGGTTGTAAACATCAGATATTTATGCACTCCTCTATCATCATTCTAAATAAGCTTCGAACATCCTATATACGTGCCATCTATGAAATTTTAGAGTACAAAATGAAAAAATAGCGGCATAAACTTTCAGCGATTATTACCTTCAATTAGGAGATCGACCATAGAAGGGTATAGAGCAATCGGAGTTCCATTCGACTCATCATCGATTTTCGATGGCAATTTCGGACTGATAGCCTCCCAACGATAATTTGATCCATCGTCAGTGCAAATACGCCACGTGGACACTCCGACGATAATTTCTCTTATGCAATGCAACACCTGCTCTTTTTACCACAACCATTTTTTCACGTTTTCAAAAGCTAATATTTTCCTATTCAAAACCTATTATTTTTCTATTCGAAACCGGAAAACAATACTCCCAACCAGTAAACCAGTAAAACATTATGTGTAGATATGAGAAAGCTATTATTTTTATCAATTACGTTATCTTTCAAGGTTTTCCTCAATTTCATAATACCAACAAAAAATAAATGAAAAAGTTCAGTACTGAGAGAAGGGATCAAACAGTGTAGTCGTGAGATAATTGTTCGTCGGTGAGAGGGTCGATTTGGTCATCTGAGAAGACAGAAGATCACGTCGCTTGGAATTGTTTTAGGGTCGTTGTTGTACCAGAGAAGTCCATTTTGAAGATAGTAGCGTTGAAATTATTTTAGGGATCAGGAAGGAGAAAAGGGTCCAACATATATATACCCTTTTTCCGGCGTTTTTAAAAAAAATGCCGCTAAAAACCACTATAAACGATAACCCAAACGCCACTATAAACTAACACTATTGCAGCGGCATTTTTTTTTAAAGAAACGGCACAATTTCATAAACATTAAATGTATGGATGAACCTATTACGACGTTTTTTGTAAAATCACAATTATGGATGAACATATTGCGGCATTTTTTGGATACAAACGTCGCTAAATACCTTTATTTATATAAGATTAACAAATTTTAAATATTTAATTTCTGTTGTACATAAACTAAATTTACTATCATGTAGTTTTATCTATTTAACAACAACCATACATTTTAATTAAAACATAAGTTATGCATAAAAATACTTAACAACAAAATACATTAAAATTTAGAAACATTCAACTTATGCATAAACAGTCTTCACCATATTGTTCACTACAATTTAGTTGTGCTCCTTCGTGGGGAAAGGACGTAGGAAATCTGTTTTCCTTGTTTGACGACGCATAGTTAAGTTTTTCCTCCATGTAAACTCTATATGGAGAAACTTTTCATCCATTTCACCAAATAAATCCCCTACCTCCGGGTCACCAAGAAGACTCCTTGCGCGCTTAAGTGCTTCACTTGAAACAGATAACGAACTTCCACCTACATTATGAAACTTGATTGGAGGTGGCTTGGGAAGTGAATCACTTGTTGGAAAAAATTAAATAGATGATAGAAATGTTTACTTGGAGTAACAATAGAGGTAACGTCGTATTCATTGAGGATAGCTCTTGCTTTTGCAATTGAAGATTCTTTCAACGCCACAGAGTTACCAAATTCGGTTGTAAACATCGGGTATTTATGCACTCATCTATCATCGTTCTAAATAAGCTTCGAACATCCTACATGCGTGCCATTTATGAAATTTTAGAGTACAAAATGAAAAAACAACGGCAGAAACTTTCAACGATTATTACCTTCAATTAGGAGATCGGCCATAGAAGGGTATGGAGCAATCGGAGTTCCATTCGACTCATCATCGATTTTCGATGGCAATTTCGGACTAATAGCCTCCCAACGATAATCTGATCCATCGTCAGTGCAAATACGCCACATGGACACTCCGACGATAATTTCTCTTATGCAAGGAAACACCTGCTCTTTTTACCATAACCATTTCTTCACGTTTTCAAAAGCTAATATTTTCCTATTCGAAACCTATTATTTTTATATTCGAAACCGGAAAAACAATACTCCCAACCAGTAAACTAGTAAAACATTATGTATAGATATGAGAAAGCTATTATTTTTATCGATTACGTTATCTTTCAAGGTTTTCCCCAATTTCATAATACCAACAAAAAATAAATGAAAAAGTTCAGTACTGAGAGAGGGGATCAAACAGTGCAGTTGTGAGATAACTGTTCGTCGGTGAGAGGGTCGATTTGGTCACCATAAAACACAGAAGATCACATCGCTTGGAATCGTTTTAGGGTCGTTGTTGTACCAGAGAAATCCCTTTTGAAGATAGCAGCGTTGAAATTATTTTAGGGATCAGGAAGGAAAAAGGGTCCAACATATATATATACCTTTTTTGCGGCGTTTTTTAAAAAACCGCCACTATAGTACATGTTTTTGCGGCATTTTAGTAACAAATGCCACTATTGATCAGCCCTATTGTAGCGTTTTTCTAAAAATGCCACTATAAACAACCATATTGTGGCGTTTATAAAAAACACCACTAAATTACTATTTTATAGCGGCGTTTGTTGCACAAACGCAACTCTAAACAACACAATGGCGACATTTTATTCATAAACGCCGCTAAATTACCAGTAAATAGTGTCGCTTGTTGAAAAAACGCCACTATAAACAATCATATTACGGCTTTTTTATAAAAACGCCACTAAATTACTACTTTGTTGTGGCGTTTGCATAAAAACGCCGCTAAATTACTACTCTGTTGCGACGCTTGTCGACAAAATGCCACTAAAAATAACTCTATACTAAACGCCGCAAAATTACCACTCTATTACAACGTTTGTTGTAAAAACGCCGCTAAAGTATCATTTTGTGGCTTTTTTAATGTAAACGCCGCTATATCCTGAAATTTTGTGGTGTTTACTCTCCAAACGCCGCTACAGAACACTTTTGTTGTAGTGTGTAGTGTAGATTATGTTTTTAGTGGTAAGTTTGATGGAATTATTAAGCATCACTTAGTACTAAATTGTGGTCACGGTCGCCGTTGTGGATGTGTGGCCATTACATCGTGATTTATTTCCTAAAAATAACTATGTTTGTATATTGCGGATGCGATTTGTGGTGTCGTGATGACCTTAAAAAATACGATGTGACCATTACGCTACTCTGGGGCTGCAATTTAATACTATCCTAAAACACGTTATGTGAATCTTCTTTTTTTCCTTCTGAAAAACAACGAAGTATTTTATATCATACTATGTTTCGATAATATCTTATATAAAGATGGCATCGGTTAGGGTTGAATATGGTTTTCTGCTAATTCAACCCGATATCAGAAGTATACTTCATCCACACTAGTTCGATTCAAAATTTAAAACATAAACATGCATCTGATCTCGGGTCAGATTAGAGATTTTTTTCACCCTAGACTCAAACTTGACCTAACCTCATCCTTTACTATACTTATTTAACTCGAATCCGAAATTTTAAAAAAATCTAGTCAATCAAATCGAGTCAATTTAGAAGTCGTCGAATCCTCATTAAATTACGATACCTAATCTTATAGCATGCCTTTGGTTTGATGCCTACTTACACACACTTCATATAAGCATATCATATGACCACTTCAACAATAACAATTAATTGTGTTATCGATTTAAATTTATTATTAATATTATAAAAATAAAATTATGGTCGAGGGATCAAAATTCAAATTTTAACATGGTAGCGGGACTAAAACTGGAACTAGACCTCTGTGTATTCAGAGGTTTTCAGATCAATCCATTTGTAGGCTTGATCTAGGGGTGTATTCGGTTCGTTTTTTACTAAAAATTGAATCGAACCGAAATAAATGATTTTTTAAAATTTAAACCGAAACGAATGGTTAAAAAACCGAATTATGTGAAATCGATTTTTTCGGTTCAGTTCGGTTCGTTAATGCGGTTTTTTAGGTTCGGTTCGTCGGTTTTTCAATGAAAAATTCACTTGAAACTATAAATTCAAAAAAAAATTGTCTATTCGGTTCAATATGGAACAAGTGGGTTCCATATGGAAAACTCGAACAGAACCGAATCAATAGAATTGATTCTTTAAATCAACCCGAAACCGAACCGTTTAAAGATGAAACCGAATTGAACCGAACCGTTTTACTCGGTTTGTGTTGGTTTTTTGATTTTCTTGGTTTCGTTGCTCAACGATCCACATTGATTAATCAAGGTGGAGAGCAACAAATATTCCACCATGAAGCTTAATAGACATATTAAAGTTATTACAAGATTCAGAGAGGACAAAAACACAACAACAAACACATGATGCTTTCCAAATCGGGCGTGTGCATCCTGATTTGTTAGCTTTGTTGTCATAGAATTGGTCGAGCATGCTTTGCTTTCTTCATGGTTCGTCCTTATTGTTTGTCGATTGTCATTATTAATAATTAACTATTAAATATTTTTAGCATTTCTAAAATAATCTTTGAAGTATAAGGGATATTATTCTCTTTTAAGGATCTGAATTCGAGCAATATGTTATCAATAAGTTAAGGATATTTTGAATAAATGTTACACTTTCAAAAAAAGGTAAAATACACAAATGGTCCCTCGACTGAGAAAGTTACAAAATAGTCTTTTGACTATTGAAAGTTACAAAATAATTTTTTGACTGAAAGGTGTTGCTTTGTTATGTCTCTGACTATTAAAGTTATAAAATAGTCATTTGACTATTCATATGTTTCAAACTCATCTTTTTTCGTTAAAAAGTTGGCGGTCGTCTGAGTTGAACGTCAACCTGCTCATTGAGATATGATAAAATACGATTTCATAACCGTTTGAGTTGTATTTTGTGGATAGAGTCTTAGTTTACATTATGTCGTTAAGCTAGTGCTTGAAACATTATATTGTTGTCAGTGTTTGAAAGCAATGGCAGTGCCAGTAGACATCATTAAAATATGATTATCATATCTCTGTCAACATGTTAACGTCTAGCTCAGACAGTCGTTAATTTTCTTAACAAAAAAGATAAGTTGGAATATATGAATAGTCGGATGATCATTTTATAATTTTTAATAGTCGAGTGATTCAACAAAACAACGTTTTATAGTTAGGGAACTCAACAAAGCAGTGTTCTATAATCGAAGATTATTTTATAAACTTTTAATAGTTTGATAACTCAACAAAACAGCATCCCGAGACCATTTGTTTACTTTACCTAAAAAAATCATACGTACAATATTAAATTTCCAGGGAGATCATATTCGTCAAGCTCATACATTAAAAGCCGATCAACTATGGAACTGTTAAAAGGGTAAACAAATAGTGATCCGATTCATGATATTCCATCACCAGCAGAAAATATACAAGCACAGTACGTAGTTTCTGTATAATCACTGTTGCATGGAATGTTGCAATATGTATACACAGAATAGTGATCCGATTCATGATATTCAATCACTAGCAAAAAATATACAAGAAGCACAGTACGTAGTTTCTGTCTAATTACTGTTGCATGGAATGTTGCAATATGTATACACAGTAACTTTCTTTTCTTTTCATACAGAGAATTCGTCAGACAAGATAAATAAAACATGTTAATTCAGTTTTTCATTGTTGATAATTCAATGCTTTAAAGGAGACGAGCACATAAATTCAGAACCTAACTGTTGAATTAGTCTACCAACCAAAAATCAACCTGCCAGCCAGGCTGCCACTTACCAACATCATAAATCCAAATATCTAACTTCAAATATATCTTTTAATTGCATAATTAATATAGTTATATATAATATATATTTACATGATGAACTCATCAAGCAAGGTAGATCCACATGTATATGAGTGTGGACACGTGTCTATTATGAAATTTAAATTTTCTTCAATTTGTTATTTATTTTGTTGATGGTGTTCATCTTGAGATGATCAGTTTCGTAAAACTGATCTTGTTTCTGCAAGTTGCCAAGAATCCAAATAAGAAACCCCCTCTCTCTTGTTTATTGCTTCCACTTGCACAAACTTTTGCTGCAAAAACCATTGTTGTTGAAGGAGCAAGCGAAATTGGCAGTGACGCCATTGCTACACTTTCAAAATGACGGTGACGAAGGGAGGAGCTGAGGATTATTCAATTATTGTGGGTATAGGAAATAACCACTTTTAAGGTTATTAAATTATAATGTTGACATAGTATTGTATTCTAGAAAACTCTGGCTGCTCTTTTTTAATTCACTATTTTTTTTTCTTTGGTCGATAAATGACGACATCAATCTTAATATTTATATTATTTACTTGGGTATATACTTGGTCATAAAAAGAGTAATATCTATATTTGTGTTTATGTTCCATATTAGTTTATATGGATTTCCATACACTTATTTAATAGCTTCAATTAAAGTTCTACTCGACAATGAAAATTTAATTTGTGATGATTAAATATAATAAGATTTAGAGAAATTACATGGTGTGGTGTGTTTTCTATACAAATAAACTCTACCAACACTAAGACCTCTACCAACTTTGCAATTTTGAGAGTTGTCGACAACTTTTGATTTTAAAACTTGAATCCATGCTTGGCAATAAGAAATGGCCAGTAGCTCAAGTCCAAAAATGGGTATTTAGACCTCTTCTCCATAACTGATTCATGCTGTTCATCTTTGGTCTTTCATTCAATCAATTGAAATCTTTTAATTAGCTTGAGCATGATGAGGCTCGAGCCCTCTCGTGCTAAACATCTAAATATCTGAGTGTTAATCTAGTATTTTCTCACCAGTTGAAAACAGGTTCCAGACCACGGTTCCAACCAAATAAAGCCCAACCGAAACCTTGAAGACGTCGTCCCATGAACCTGAGAATGGTCAGTATTAAGAAATGGTTAGGTATTAGAATGTGTAAAGATTCAATCACAATTAATGAGGGGACACGATCAAATCACAAGTTTCCATGAGCAATGTACTATAGGCAAGCACACATAGAATATGATTCTATCAGAAAAATCCAACTGACCGCAAGTCGTCTTTGGCAAAGACAGTTTTAGTTTATCACTCGGTTTCCCGAGGTTAAAGAAAATATGGCATGATCAACTTAAGAATCATAAGAGCAAAGGTATTACATAGGAGCAACTCTATCACCTCTATTGTCGGATGTCACCAGTAGGTCCAGAGCCAATAGTGAATTGAACTTTTTTTTTTCAAAAAATTAAATGCCATATAAGTCATGATTCATTCACTTCAACTGGGTAAACTTTCTACTTCTTACCGTGTTGCAGGATGTAGCCGGTTGCTGCTGTTCCAAAGACCCCTGCTAGTACTCCAGCAGTGTTCGATAAACCAAGTAATACTCCCTGCAAAGAATAAATAGAACAAAAAATAAGAAGAGAGAGAACTTTCAAATCTCTGAACAAGGTTAAGAGGAAACCGATGTCAAGAATCAAACATAACCCAAGTACTACAACAGCAAAAATTTGTGCTTAGAGGAAGCTTATTTGGATAACAAAATCAATTCCCAGCCATTAGTGTAAGCTTCCTTGTTTATTGAAGGATGGTCTTGGAGAACAACCCTAGGACATCAACAATAGCAAAGAACTAAAACTTACGGAATATCGAGGAACAATATCTTGATGGTTTGAATAAAGGCCAGACTGTGAAAACGCATCAGTTCCCTGTTGAGGAAAAAATGGAAATCAGATATGCCAGTTGCATACAGTTGATACGAGTAAAGGGTTTTTCTTCAATCAAAGTGTGGGGGAAATGGTAGTAGAAGATATTGGCGTATATAGAAACTAACTGAGAACAAATTGGTGGGAGGGATCGGGTCAAACCCGTCATGTATAAATGGTTCATAAAATGAAAACTGTTGATAGAGGAACTAAGCTACCAGTGGTTAAGTGGAAATTTAAGGAAATCAGAAGATAGGATAACTAAAACAAAACCAACATTAACTCTATGTTTCAAAGTTTTACAAGAAACAAACCTGACTGCATGCCATACACAAAACAGCCATAGCAGGAGAATCGACATGGCTCAGCTGAGTTAGGAAGAAAGCAGGGCCAAGAAATCCAATTGATTGCATAATCTGTAAAAATAACGATAAACTTGAACAATGCACCATAAGGGTAACTCCGGATGAATGCATATATGACTCTTAAGGAAACATATTTAATGAAAATTTCATAATCTGCAATATTGGAGTGTGTTTGAGAAAAATGAAAATTAAGATACCTTGCGAACAGTAGTCACAGATAAACCTTTGCTCACAAGTGTATCTGCAATCCAACCTCCAAGGTTTGCAGAAAATGCCATTGTAAGCCAGGGTAAAACACAGAAGAGCCCCGACTCGGTGAGATTGAACTTCAGGACCTATATCGTATAACAAAACAATTTATGCATACCATTGTGACAACTCATAGAAGAAGCATCAGAACATAATGTTGTGACTGCTTCGCTTTAGGTTTCAAAAAGTGGGAAACAGAAAAAAAAAAAGGATGCAGTTTCATAGATAATGATAAAACCAGACCTAATCAGCTAAATTCTTACGGTGCTTATTAAGCATTATGAATGCTATGCTTCCAAGAATAACAACAGTATGCGTCTAATGATGAAATCACTTACTTGATTATAGTACGTAGGCATCCATGTTAAGAGAATAAATGTTCCCCAATTGTGACAGAAATGAGACACTATAAGGGCCCACACAGGTGGTTTTGATAAGATTAACTTCCAAGGTATTGTTTTAACTGGCTGCTTGGAAATACAATTGGAAACAATAAGCTTCTTCTCTTGCGGCCGAAGTTGAGGATCATCATTAGGTGAACTATAAGCCTACAGAACAAAGAAGAGATTAATGGCATTTGGGAGATATTTCCAAATAAAATCAAACACTTACCCTCAACTGAATCCTTAAAAAGAAGCAGAACTTATGATCATCCAAAAATATGAGGTACGCTTCATTTTCATTGGCATCATTTACCTTGTTTATCCATAAAGCAACCCAGACTGTCCCCAGGGAGCCAAAGGAGTAAAAAACCGATGGCCATCCATACTGATGTATCAAGAATGGTGAAAATGCAAAGCCAGTAACAGAGCCAAGATACATTCCACTGTAAACCAATGCTAATGATCTACTCCTTTCAGCAACAGGAACCCATTTGGACAAAATATTGTTCATGGCAGGCATGGCAACACCCTGAAAACGAAACAATACCATATACAATAACAAAAAGCTAAAGAGTTCTTAGATAAAATTTCAAATTAGGCTTATGTATATACACTAAGAGCTGATGAATTAATCAGTTTTTGATTGAACACTAGTAGTAAAGAAGCAACCTCTCCAATTCCCATGAAAGCACGAACGACAAGCAGAAATGGCAACCCCAATTTAGCTGCAACAGGAGTAAGAGCCGTAGCAATGGACCACCAAATCACCCCAAATCCTAAAACCGACTTGCCACCTACAGTGTCTGCCCATATGCCACCAGCAATCTGTCATTAACTACAACATAATTAGCAAGAAAAACCCACAAAAACTTATACTTTGGATTAACAGAAAACCAAGATTCCATCTCAAAACTAAACCTTTTAAAAAAGGGTTTACAAAAAGAATTTTTCTAAAAAAAAAACAAAGAAGAAGAAGAAGAAATTATTACCTGAGTGAGGAGATAACCCCAGAAAAAAGATGATTGTATTAAACCAACAGTTGATGGGTTCCAATTGAATTCGGCTGACATGGGAAGTATAGCAATGCTCATATTTACCTGCCAATCAAGATCTGTTTAAAGTTGATAATGCAAATAATAACAAAGCTTTAGCTGAATTAAACCACTTGTAATTCTAATCTATTATTGCGATTGTGGAACTAATGGTCATTTTCAAAGATATTTGACTATTCTCCAAGAATCAAACCAAAGAAAGAACAAGGTAAAGTAAAGCTTACTCGATCCATATTACACAGCAAAAAAGCTGAAAAACACAAAAGAACGATAACCCAACGTTTGGGGAACTGTTCCCACCAAGGAACCGTAGTGTCCAAATCATCCTCACTCGAAGCGATATCGTTTAGTCCATCTTTGAACTTAACCGAATCTCTTAGGGAGTCGAGTATGTCTCTGACGTCTGCGTGTACTTTCCCGCTTCTACTTCTTCTTCTTCCCTCACAAACAGAAACACGGGAAAGGCGGCAGCCATGGAGGGAGTAGAGGGGGATCCGGTTCAGGGATCGGGTCGGGTTGGTCTTGTTCCCGGAGGAGATAGTACCGGATGGCGATTTGGGGAAGTTAGAGGAGGAGAGGAGAGCTCTGAAGCTCATGGTAACGTTTTGAATTTTACCACTTCACAAACAGAGGAAAGGAGATATTTGTAAGGTTAGAGAGGTGGAGGTAATGGGAGCGATATTTAAGGGGAATGGTCGGAGGTTTGACACGTGTACTTTGTTGGATTAACGGAAAAACGGCTTTTGGACTCTTTTTTTAGACATGGATTGGGCTTTGTTCAATTATACAAGGCCCCCGTAAAGAAATGAAACTAATCAAATCTTACCTAATGTATATCTGTCAGAATGAGCAACCCATTTCTGTTATGTTTAGTTTTCCCCTCCTGTGATTCGTTTATATGTATATTGAGGTATAATCTATTTACACCGTTTAAAATTTTTCAATTTTATATATTTTTTAATTATTAGAAGAATGAAAATAAATGATTACGATTAACAATATAAAGATGAAAATAATTTTACTAAAAAAGTGAATTATCCTTAAAATTTAAAATTTTAATCCCATCCATTACCCTCAATTGATCAAATTATCCAAAAAAAACATATCGTTATATTCTCCGCCATGCTTTTCAAGAAGGAAAAGATGAGTACATTCCATACTAGTCCAGCGTAAGATGAAAATAAGAATAGACTTGTCATATGCAAGCAAAACAAATAAAAAAAAATCATTCAAAGAAAATACTAGCTCGTAGAAATATAAAAGAAACGCATGCAACTTAGCACCACGTCAAAAGTATACTGGACAAAGGACATACAAACTAAGTGCCCATTCAACCTAATAGAAAGCTTCGTAGATAATGAGATAACACGTGTGATTAATATGGGTATTATGTGATTAACATGAAAATAGTATATAAAATAATATATTAGTGTGAAAGCTTCATCAGAAGGGAAAATCCTTTGATCGTTGGATTGAGGCTTTCTTATCATAGCAATTTGGTTAGGTACGTTGTACTTGTACATGTAAATTAATTGGACAAGTTGTGCATTTACAACCAAACTAATATCAGGCTCATAGATGAATGTTTGATTTGGAGGGGGAAAACTAATAAAGCTTGATGTGGAAATAAAAGTTTAAAAATGAAAATTATTAAGTCTGGAAATTCAAATTCCTGTACATAACTGTTACGAGAGATGATTATGAATTCATACACAACTTTATGGAGCTAATATTTTTACGAAAAACTTGTAAAATATTGGATGGAATTTAGCATAAATTAGTTGTTAATGGGATTTTTTAATTAGTATCGGATAAGTACAAGATAATATAAATTCAAAGATAACTTTCAATAATTTGATATTAATGGTTAGACTTCTAATATTTTTTATTCTAGACTGAGACTTAAAAGAAATAACTATTCTCCTACCACCTTATTAGTTTAATTCGTGCTTTAAATTACATACTCAGTGAATCCGAGAAGAAAGGCATATATTCCGCGCAAAAACAGATCACACAAAACTGTCAGCAACACCTTCAATTAAAATACCCAAAAAAAATGCCGTCACAGAAAAGGAGCAGCGAGTTGCTTCTGCAGTTTATAATGGCGAAGTGCAGACAGCGTTTGACTTTGTTGAAACCTCGGGAACTGTCCCGATATCCATTGTCCAAATTCCTACATTCCTGGAATCTCGCTCTCCATTTCGCTTTTTTCACGCTCATTCCAATGTACGCATTTAAAGTTTAAACTCCCCAACTCTGCATTCTTTTGGATCTCTCTCTCTCTCTCTCTCTTAGTTTTTCCCCTTTGCGTTCCATTTCAAAAAGAAATCTGATATTCAGTTCTCACGTCTTTTGCATGTCCAACGCGTTTGATTGGTTTCTCACCATTTCAAGTTTCCTTCTTTTTTTTTTCTTTTGTTGTATATAATCCCAGGGGTTTGCTTTGTAATTTGTTGCTAAGTGGGAGGATATTGAATTCAAGCTTGAAGGGAACCAATCAAATCGGTAACTTCTTCAAATTCTTGGGTTTTGTTCAAAATTTTCATTTTGTTTTTTTGTTCGTCAAATGTTTGATAAAAATCTTGGCATTACCTTAAAGGTTAAACGAAAACTTTTATCCTATTTGCTGAGTATATTGGTTTATATTTCCCTTTGTGGCAAGTTTTCTTTTTACTAGTTTAAAGCAGGGCAATTTCTTGTTTCTCAAATCACAACTTATGCACCTCAATACAATTTGCTTCAAAAGATTCTACTTTTGGCACTGTTGCTTCTTTGAAGTTCAGCTACTTACTGCTTTCGAGGGGCATTAATTTACTTTCTACTAGCTTCTTTTCATGCTTTATAAATTAGAATCGTATCACTTGATTGGCAAATTTTCATTTTTAGCAAAGGAAATTTGGAGCTGATAATTCCAAATCTAATGTTTCTTTTCATGTGCAGGTTAGTGATATGTCGAATATCAAACTAGATGAGGTTGTCTTCCATGATTCTGAGGAATCAGAATTAAGCTCTTGGAAGGGGAAAGTGACATCAGATGAAAAGGTTAGTAGAGTATACGAGATCCTAAACACTATACATAAGGAAGGGCAGAGGTCACCTATCAGTATCACCGCAGATGTCGAGAATGGAACACGGACTGATAGGTATTACCGATATGTTTCGACTTCTAATGGTTCATTATTCATTTATCTCTGAACTGCTATCTTGTTGGAGTTCTCTCTTGTTAACTGTATGCACGCTCATTTTGCTAATTGGATTTTGGCATGAATCTGATATGTACTCTCTACATGTCCAAGTTTGAAAGACAAGAGGTTGGCAGAATCGCTAAATAATGAGATGAGTCGATAACCATAGTTGATCACTCCTTGTCTTATTGTTTTTTTTTTAAAACTCAAATAAACTCTTCTGCACAAAAACTTCTGATCTGGATAAGGATTTGTTGCTTTTATTTGAAAATTTTAGTTTCTAGATGTCTCATAATTTATGTACAGTACCAAACTACTAATGAATATTTTTGCATTCATGTTTTTTAAATTAATATGATTATATTTAGCACTTTAAAAGTGACTCTTGTCTGGTCAATTTGATGAATATATCAATCACTCTTTCATCAGGCTATTTAAAGGGAACGAAAAGCATGCACGTGTAGTAGTTGGAAGATCTGGACCTCTTATATCCGGAACAGCCTACTGCATTTCCTCGTGCAGCATGATATTGCTGAATAAAGTTGTTCTCTCAAGTTATAACTTCAATGCAGGAATATCATTGATGTTTTATCAGGTAAGAAACTGCATTTCAATAGTTTAATAGCATTGCAAGTATGCAAAAATATTGTCATGAGAGCCATAAGTAAGTTTCCCTCTGCTTTATCATGTTATTAAATTGAAACTGAAAAACCTGCAGAACTCTTACCATCTTTGAACATTTCCCGGCAGCATTAATCTCGACTGTAGTTACCATAAAATATTGCCAGTGCAAGTTCATTATTTTTACTGTATTGCAATGCAGAATGTGATAGCTTGTCTAGTCATTGCCATATTGGGTCTATGTGGAGCAATTTCGGTCGAAAAGCTCAATTGGAAGCTGATCAGGGTTTGGATCCCTGTAAATATAATCTTTGTCGGCATGCTTGTGTCAGGAATGTATAGGTATGTTATAGGCTGCCTCTAGCATATTCCTTAATTTTTTTACACAAAAAGTACAGAGAAGTTGAGTCCTAACTCCTAACTATACATTTTGTGTTTTCCATTACAGTTTGAAACACATAAATATAGCAATGGTGACCATTCTGAAGAACATGACAAATATTTTAACAGCAATAGGAGAATATTATGTTTTTCGAAAACATCAAAATCTGAAAGTCTGGACAGCGATGTTTATGATGGTAAAGTTACTCCTAAATGACCTCCATCTGATTCTTTAGTGCAAAATCAAGTCAAAACTCTTCCATAAATATAAACTCCCCTCAAATAGAGAAAATCTCTTATAATCATGAATGTAAATTTTCCCTTTAGTCCGAAATTTTTCAGAGATTTATGTGTCATTGTGCTGCAGATTATCTCTGCTGTCAGTGGTGGTATTACAGATCTCTCATTTGATGCCACAGGGTATACTTGGCAGATTTTAAATTGCATCTTAACAGCTGGCTACTCGGTATGCCTCGAGTGTATTCATTATATAGGCAACTCATGATTTTAAGATCACTAATTTCTAGTTTAGACTTTGGAAACCATAGTTTTTGTGCAGATCTATACGTACTGTATGATTACCTTATGAGTTACGTTTGAAATGGTGACAGCTTACTCTGCGGCTTGTCATGGATAAAGCTAAGCAGGCAACCAAATCAGGATCACTTAATAAAGTGTCTATGGTTTTTCTGAATAATTTCTTGTCTCTGCCCTTTGCCATCTTCTTGATTTTTGTTTTGAACGAATGGGAATATGTAATGAACACGTGAGTAAACACCTTAACTTACAGTTCGTCATGGTTATATAAGTTTTCCATCGTGCAAGTATCATCTTCTGCATTCTGACGATTTCAGTTTTGGTTTTTCAGCAATGTGATTAGATTGCCAATGTTTTGGGTTTTCGCAACAGCTAGCGGGTTGCTTGGTCTTGCCATTAGCTTCACTTCCATGTGGTTTTTACATCAAACTGGACCAACCACTTACAGGTATTTGGTTTTGTGTCAAAAAAGAGTGTCTCGGAAATATATGGTCCATTGATATCCTTTATGCTCACATATATAATTAGATATCAATCCGCTTTTATACGTGCAGTGTATCCTTTATCCGTGCCAGAATGTTACAATCACAGTAACAATGACATCATATCCTTGTTTTACAGCCTTGTAGGTTCCTTGAACAAGGTTCCCATCTCTATAGCTGGACTCGCGTTGTTCAAAGTTCCAGTCAGTATACCGAATCTGTTCAGCATACTCTTTGGTAAACAAATCGACTCTGAATTTACTATGAACAAAATGCTTATGAAACTTAGATCGTTATGTTGATCGATGCATGCTCCTTCCAGGTTTATTTGCGGGAATAGTATTTGCCAGAGCCAAAATGTCATGATCCAAGAACAAGACCTTGGGTGAATAAGATGAAGCAAACAAGGCTTCTCTCC